ATATAAACAGTCTAGAAGGAAAGGCAAATCTCGGTAACAAAACCTACCTTACTTTCTTTCCATTCCTGTTGCTACAACCATTGACTCATTGTTCACACTTAGATTATTCCAAGAATCTTACTTAATCTTCCCTCTACTAGCTGTCCCCACTCTGATCCATTGTGTCTTTCCTAAAACACCCAATACCATTAGTCTTTCTAAAATACTCACTGACCATGTTATTTTCCTATTCAAGACCTCCACTCCCACATCACGTTTCAAGGCTAAACTTTTAACCCAGCATTAGGGAACTACCATTATCTGATCTCACCATCTCATCCTTCCTACTCAAGCCCGCCGCTAGTTATATTAATTTTCCCTCTTATGTTCCACAGAAGCCATGGTCTACTCTCAGGGACTTTGCGAAAGCTATTTCTTTCAACTGGAATGTTTGCCTTTCTTTATTCTAAATACAGCACTTTTTTTCTAGCTTAAAGTCTGTCTCCTCTCCAAAAAATCTTCCTAGACCATTTCAGTTCAAACTGATCTAATCTTGAAATACGTTAGCATTTTTGGAACACCCAAGTCAGCAAAGACCTATATACTGTCTTTATACTATTCACCATCTATTTCGTGTATGTCGGGATTTCTCAACCTCAGCCCTATTGACATCTTGGACCAGATAATTCTTTGTTGGGGGGGCGGTGTGGGGAGAGGGCTGTCCTGAGCACTGTAGGAGGTTTAGCAGTGCCCCTGGCCTATACCCCTATACCCACTACATGTCAGTCGCACGGCCCCTCCCCCCACCACAGTCATAACAACCAAAAACGTTTGCAGACCATTGAGAACCACTGATGATACAAATCTTATTTCTCTGACAATAATTGTTCATTTGGTATGAGACCTTGAAACCAGGAGAGCTTAAAGCAAACAATAGGCTGGTTCGCTCATATTTCAAGATTGGGAGGTGAGATGGGCTCCCTAGACAAATATGAAACTTGAGATTTCTCTGCCTCTGCTTGGGAACATTGCACTTGGGAAGAAATGAAACAAACCATCCTTTATTGAAGCTGCAGCATTTGGATGCCCCAGGAGATGGAATAAGAACTCTCTGAAGTGACTTTCAAAAAGGAAAACAGAAAAGAAACCATGGCACTCAGAGATAGTATAATAGACCAACAAATGGCTATATAATACAGAACAACCCAAGCCCTTCACAATTACACCAAAAATTACAGGCATTCTGCCTGAATACAAAAATTACTTCGGTGCCTCAGGATTTGAAACCCTAAAATTTCATGTTCTATTACCACCAAAGGAGACCCTAGGAAATTAAAAATTGGCAAAAATTCACTTCCACTGGCTTTGCTTCACCCTCTTGACTTTTTCCGGGGATAAAGATCAAATCAGTTTCCCTGATTAACCATTTCCTCTTAATACTTTAGAACAGCACCTGTGAAACACAGACTTGTGAAGGCAACACTCTGTGTATAAATCTCTTTCCTATGAGTGGCTTTAAAAATAAAAATGTTGTAAAAATGAGAGACAGATATCTGACCTACAACCAGGCTTTCAGAAGGCAAACAAATGCATGGATCCAACTCTTTCCTCCCAGTAGCCTCTGTTCGTTTGATTCCTCTAACATTACATAATTGAATCTTGTGCCTTTAAGCTCTGGGAAAATAAGCTTCATAAATTTCCACAGGCTGAAGGCCTGCTGAGAAAGGGATCTAGAGGCCCAAGTCCATGATTGCAGAGATACTGACAGGGTTGTTTT